TCAAGCTTGGCTTGTTCCCGTGGTGTGTGCTTCGGTTGTTTGTCACAAGGTATGAGGTCCTCCTCGGCACTGTTCTTTACAAACACCTTACTTTTCTTGCCCCAACATTAGGGGGTTCGAGGTTCTTTTTACAAGAGATATTGAAAGTCCAGGAGTGTGAGCATGTTTGCTTCAAACGCCAAACTTAATTTTCTTTCCCAACCCAACCCTGGTGAAAGTCCTGAGTGTCTGTGTCCAGAATCTCCACGACTTCTTTTGCTCGCCAAGCGTCATCCTTAGAGTGCGGAGTAGGGCCTTTCTTTGTTTCAACCAATTACTCAAGTTTTCAAGCAACCCAAGTGCAATTTACGCGCATGCTGCCCAGGGACATCAATGGAAGTTCCCACAGGTTTTCCAGACTGGTCCAGCCTCTTCCTCGGGTGTGTTGCCAAGCTTGCCCGCGAATATCAATCTCGTCACTGCGCAATTACCCCTAACGTATCCTAACGTTGCTAAGGCGCTCAAGCTCTGCGATTTCCTTGTCCAGGTCGGAAAGCGTGCGCTGGCCAAGGAAGGTGTTGCCGGCCAGCCTACCCTCCAAAATTTTGATTTGGGCAGCAACCTCAGGAGTGGACAGCGCTGGAATCTTATCTGGCCTGGGCCGAGCAAATGTCCGGCCTTGCACTGACGTGATCCCCTCCATGGTTGCTGCATCATTTTTCCCACTGCTGGAGCTAGGACTGGCCTCAACGGAAGGCAACGAACAAGCCCCGAAATCAAAGGGCAATGTTTCCATTTGAGAAATGTCAAGCGCGGCTGCCGGGCTGGGGGCTTGGGTGCTGGGGGTGGCAGGCTCAGGCTTTGGGGCAACAAGCTGCTGCGTGGGTGGCACTGCGTTTGCAGTGCCCAAGTCCTCAAGTGGTTGCGGGCTGGGCGGCTGCCTATCTGCCGCTTGCTGCGAACCCTCAACCTCTTGCCGGCTGGCTGGCTGGTCCTGTGGCTGCGCGTGTGCTTCTGGCTGGGAGTCCTGAATGTCCTGAACTGGCTGGGGGCTGGGCGGCTGCGTCTCTGCAAACAAGGGCTGCGTGTCAGGAATTGTCTCTGCGGGCAGGGGCAGTGTGTCAGGGAACAGGGGCAGTGTGTCAGGAATTGTCTCATAAAACAAGGGCTGCGAGTCGGGCGAGGGAAGGCTGGCAAGCTGCGTCGCACCCAGGGGCTGGGAGTCGGAATTTGCGGCAAGGCTGGACGGCTGCGTGTCCAAACTGCTGTCAGCTTCAACCCCATCCTTGTCCTCAGGCAGGCCGTCAAACTCACACTCGTCGATGTCAATCCCTTGGTCGTCTTCTGCGTCAACGTTGGCATCGCTGAGCGTGTCCTTGCGTGTTTTGGACCCAGGCCGAAAGAAGGCCTGGGCTTAGCGCAATGATCGTTCTTTGTTTTGCCCTTACCAATTTTGCGCTAATACCCCATAAGACTTAAGCTAAAATGTCCTCCAAAGCGTTCTCATCCAACTCGTCCTCATCGCCTCTTGAGTACCAGGCGTCCAAGTAGATGTTGAATAATGCCCGGACTTCTTCGGCCTAAAGCAAGGTACCACCCTTCCCGGCTGGAATGCTACAATTTCCATTTGGGTGTCAAGAGCGCATGCCTAACTGCTTTGGACCCGCACGAGTTTACAGGCCCCCGTCCGCAAAGAGGCATGGCTGGCTTGAATCGCTTGAAATGCGAACCAAACTTTGCATAGAAGCTTCCAACACAGAATGCTTTCTTAGTCATTGTTGCCAAAAGGCGCGAGGCTGGGTGGCTTGCCGCAGGATGCGGAAGATGTGTGCAGTCAGCTTCCTCACGCCCCAAGCGTCTGCGTGCACCTGGACTTTGGTCGGCGTTCTGTCCAACAGCTTGTAGAACTTCTTCACCTGTTCCAGTGGATTAGGTTTGCGGCGGGAGGAAGCCATCACGTATATGTGCAGCATACCGGTATAATGTGGGTAACATATCGGGAAACCTAATGCTAACATTATGTTTTCAATCATTGTTTATTTGCGCGCGCCCCTGGCCTGAACCTTGACGGAAGACAATGGTGGCGTGCGAGGGGCTCCAGCTGACTCATAGTCAAAGATGTCAACCCAGATTGACGCAGTGTGCGTCAGAACGGCCACATTGTGCTGGATTGCCTTCCTGGGCTCCATGTCAAGTGAAGCTCCAAAACCCGGGCCCCATAGCATGCGAAATGTAAGCTATGAGACATATGGCAGAATCTTGAAAAGGTGTGACTTAAGTTGTTTGGCCGAACCCTGAAATGCCTGCCACAAGAACAAAAGCTGTTGAAGATGCGCCGGGCATCACACTTGGCACCCCAACAGTGGTAGGGGAAGGCCATTTGATGAGTGATCCCGTTTCTCTGGCCCTTCCTCTTACGAACTTGTCATGTTCCCATCTCTCAGCCAACTCCTCCAGGACGATTGCCATGCTCAACCGGCAGAACTGCGCGTGTCCAAGCCCAACTCGTGCTGCGGGGCGCTCAGCGATGAGTGCACAACCGACACAGATCAAACCGAAGACACACAACGGAAGCATCGATCTTTGAGTTAGGCTTTGCTAAGCCACGTGTCATGTGTATATCACCAATTCGGCACTCAAGGCAACAATTGCAGTGCTGGCTGGTCTCAACTGTTCACCCCTTAAACCATATGTTAGGCTGGGCTTCCGAATCACTGGGCGCCTGGCCATTGCCGCTTCTAGGCCGCAGTGTGGATTACCTGCGCGGGATGTTTGGTAAAGGTTCTATGGTGTATGATGGCCAACGCAGGCAAAGAACAATTTCCATGCTAGAATGCCGCAACGCTAAAGCCTTTGACCGAGACTTAATTCATCGCAAAGTCAGTTGCACGCACTCGGATTTGCACTTTGTTTGCCGCTCGCTTGGATCGTGCTTGAAACGGTCTGAGGCCTTTGAGTCCCTCAGCGCAGTGGGTCTGGTGAACTGCTGGCCTGATCGAAGCAAGGGAGGAAAATGCGAAACGTGCGCCAGGTGTGTTGGGCCAAGATGCCTGAGATCCATCATGTCCTGAGGCTAAGGGACATGAGTCACATCAAGGGGAACTTGTATATTAGAAGCACCGTAAAAACAGATCGGACAACACACAAAGCCAAGCATCCATGCCCAGAAAGGCATTTCCTCACAAGCTCCTGAACTACGCCCTGTTGATCGTAGTTTTGGATGACGATGTCGGCAGATTTCTCGTCTATTTGAGCACCCTGCGCGGAACAGGCAAGCTGTTCAGTCGCAAGTAGGAAAGTCTGGGGCAACATAGACCTCAGCAAACATATTAAGTGTATCAAATTGGTTCACGGAACTTTTCAACAGTTTACTCAAACAAGAGGCTCCCATGATACGCCAGTCAGCTGTTACATATTTGCACGGACACAATGTTTATTTCATTGGATTATGGTTTGATCTAAGGCTGCACCGCCCCATGGGTTGAACACCGTGACTAAAGGAATCTTGAACAAGCTTCTCACACCTCCGTCGGCCGGAACACCACATCCAAAACATCTTTCCAGAACTGATCCGGCAGACCCAGCAGTCCTGCAGTGTTCAATGTGCTACAATTGGAAAGTGAGGCATGCGCCGCAATTGTGCTGCACATACAAACGGCGTGGCCTCGTTTTTTGAACTGCTCCTTCACTGATTCATTCGAGTTCAGGAATGATTCCATTGCTTAAGGGCACAAGTCTGGCTTAAGCCGATGTGCTGCTTGTTCAAACCAAGCATGTTCATGTTGCATCCGGCGCACGCATGTGCAATGGTGCATTGCAAAAAGCGAGGGATGGGCACACCTCATGGCCGCACAGCCATGGCGTCAGGCTTTCTTGCTCCCAAAGAGCCCAAACGAGCTCCGATAATGAAGTGGCAGGCCCATAAACACACTAAACCCAAAAAAAGGTGTTTTTATCAAAAAAAGGTGTTTCGACAAAGAATGCCATTCTTTACAAAACACCCCAAAAATATGGGGTGTTTTGAGACTCCAGGTACCAACTTTTTCTGTAGTCTATCTTAGTAGCAGAACCCTCCCCCAAACAAGGGGTGAGAAAGGGCACTACTGGGGATCTAGTTGGACTCCGGGTGGGACGGATAAGCTTTTTACTTCCACTGGGATAGCTGCCTTTCATTTTAGCATCACAGCAACTGCCATGGCTTCGTTGTGGACATGATTTGCCTCAGGAGTCATGGATACCTATGCACGATCCAGGGCAATATCGATGCCCTCAGCGCAGGCCACAGGAAGGGATGCAATTCTCAGCCATCCATGTGATACGTCAGACCAAAGCGACGACCATCCTTGATCGAGACCATCCCAAACGATCGATTCGTCAGAACTGGTGTTTGTGCAGCCCCGTCAACAGACCCAAGTGAAAACTCAACTTGTCAGCATCAAACAAAGCGATGTCAAGAACAAACGACTCCCAAGTTGCCGAGGCAAGACTCAAGCACCGACTGCAAGCTCAATTCAAGGAACTCAGGCCGTCGACAAACCTCCGGAAGGTTTGTACTACACTCCTCCATGGAAACCACAAGGGCTCCCCCAAAAGCGGCTCCTCTCAAAAAAACGTGATTCTTTGGGCATTATTTTTGCCTGGGAAGAATGTCAACACAAGGTTGTACACGCTCAACTAGTCTTGCTTTCCAAAGGGGCCTGCCACCATGACTCAGCCCGTTCGAACGACCCTGTTGGCATAGAGGACATCTGCCCACAGCCTCATGTTCTCATCTTGATAAATGGGGTTGCCCAAGATGCCAATGTAGACATCTAGGCAAACTGCTACAACTTGTCAACCGGAAATATGGATACGTTCATCATTGATGGGTAAGGTCTTCTTACCCTAGATCGCTCAATGCTGCAACAGCCACCAGCGAAAGGCAAAGGCAGCAAATGGAAGGACCCAGCCAATACCCCGTTAATTCCAACAGATTCCATGCCTCCCCCCCCCCCAAGACAGTGTAGTCTCGGCTTTCCCGCCAGCTGCGCGGCTGCACTGTCTTGTTGCTCCTGCGCAAGCAGGTTTTTCGTTTCTTGCCCGAAAACAAAATGAACCAGCGGGTGATTTATATCCTCAAAGAGATATCTTTAGGAATGAAGGTGACGGTGCAGCCAAACATGCTTCCGCCCATGGGCTCATGAACAATTGTTTGGGCGCAGTCCGAAGAAGGGATATCGGATATGGGCTGCCATGGTCTTCGCGAACATGCATTGGTCGTCCCAAGATGCATCAATCAAGCTGCCGCGTCATCCAAGTGGAATCACCTCAGTCACAATAAGAACCTGGCATTAGAAGACCCAAAACCCTGTAAAGAATCAACAAGAATCAACATGGCGGCCGCGCCGATTTCTTGGTTGCGACTATTCCTACTAACCCTCATCTACCCCAGGTTTTGAATGTGCCCTACGCGGCAAAGCGGCGGCAGCTTACAAGGGCAGCCTCAGGAAGAGAATAGCCCATGGTCAGTGACATCATCAGATATTGACAAGCCTTACTTTGTCAAATCGACCATGCACGGCACTTTTAAATGTTGAAACATAATTATGGTTGAAACCCACACAAGGCCCACAAGTTGACAAGGAAATCTGTTGGATTGGGCGCTTGTTGAAACTCGAAGGCTTCCTCCAACACTACGTACTCCGGTTGCATAGTAGGATTGACGGGAATCCCCAAATGCTCAAGGTTTTCTTTTTTTTTCCATAAGGCTCAACTCTCCAAAAGCAGCTACATCTTATTTTCCCAGCTATCACTTGCATTGTCTAAAAATGACAAATGGAGAGTGGCAAGGTACGCCCAAACTCAAATCAGCCCTTACATCTGCCATTGATTGCCATTGGGTTCCTCACAGCAATCGCCCTAACCACACCCCTTCCATCCGAACCCCACCCCCACAAGCGCCACTTGCGCATGTTTCTCACACCAGAATCCGACTCTCCGCGCAGAGAGTATCCACCAAGCGCTGCTCCCAGAGTCCCATGTCGCGCCACCTCACCGCGGCGGCGACGTGGCCAGGGCCGCTGGGCACCGTGAAGTTGTGGGACAGGCGGAGAGACACGAAGCGCAGCTCCAAGTAGTCGATGTTCCAGGCCTGGGCGGTGGGGGGGGGGGGGGGTGAGCTAGGGCGTTTGGGGTGGAGGGCCTGGGAGTCTCAATCAAAACCTGGTATTAACATGGTCGTAATCCCAGAACCATGCTTCAAGAACTAAGAAGGCGGCCGCAACTATTTCTGACTGGGACTACCCCTTACTAACCTTCATCTACCCGTTTTTTTTTTATTGTGGCTCACTTGAGTGAGGGGTTGGAGCTAGGGTGTTTGGGGTGGAGTGGGGTGCAGTGAGGTGGAGAAACATGAATGAGTTCCCTTTGGTTTCCATGAAAACACCACCCCACCTCCCCAAAGAACCCCCTTCTGCGTGGCGCCAATGCTCCACCTGTCCTAAAAGAGGGGATTCCGGTGTGCACAAACACGGGGCCAGACCAAAACATGTGTCCAACCCGATTTTTTTATCGGTTTCCGGTTGGTTTTCTCGCTAAATGCCAACAGGGGTCCCATTTCCCCCATGTTGAGCAACTCACAACAATGCTTGCTGGTGCTCAGCAGGGAGTCAGAATTGGAATGACCCCCAAGAAAACCATCCCCGATTGGTTTCCTTTTTCGGGAATCGCAAAAAGGTTCATTCCATTTCTCATTCCCTACCTATCGCACCATTCCTTTAAGGGAATCCCCTGGTTCATTCCATTTCTCATTCCCGATTCCCTACCTATGGCACCATCCCCTGGTTAATTCCCTCATTTCTCACTCCCTACCTATGGCACCAGCAAGATGAAACGCAACCTAGGTCCTCCAGTAGAGAGGTTAGAACAAGGGTACCAACTTTTTCTGTATATTTTAGTCGGGGACCTCCCAACCAAAAAAAGGGGGTGAGAAAGGGTACCTAGCTGCGGGACCTACTGTGGTGGACGAAATCCTGCACCACCTAAGAAACCCTGGAATGACCATTCCCCTGTAAATACCAACCAACAATGGTTTCCGGTGGTTTCAAAGTGGTGTAGGATTTCGTCCACAGTAGCAACAAAAACGGGCGAGGGGCCGGCAGCATCATCGCCGCCACGGCGTCGTAGAGCACCGAGGACCGGGAGCCATCAGCGTGGCCCTGGGGGCCATGCAGCGGCTCCGGCCAGGGGCAGCGGGGCAGCCAGGCGAAGTACCTCACTCGAGTCGAAACGGGCCCTTGAGAGGTGAACCCCAAAATGGGTGTCTCAACTCACTTGCTCCTTGGGAAATGCTGGGCTGAACATGTTTTTTTGGGTTTACTCGTCTGTTGGGCACCTGGACATGTTTTGGGGAGGTGGGAAAAGGGAAGATCCCATGTCATGGAGCTTTGCGTAAATGCCAGATTCAGTGAATCTTGGGCCTTCACAGGAATAAAGGTTGGGAACTCCTGTGGAAGAAAATGTGGGAGGTGTACTAAAGGTGGACCAAAATAGGACACCAAATGGTGAAAAGGCCGGCTGTCCAAGCTCGAGCCTGTTTAACCTCTACGTCATACGGGTTCGGGACAACCCAAACACAGGGGGGACCCCCTCAGTCCCGGAAGAGGATGACAGGCTTGGTTGCCTTGCATATGTTGAAGCAATCAGCCCGATAAGGCGCCCTTGCCAGGGAAATGAGAGGAGGTTGTTCGAAGCATTGTCGTTCATGTTGAAACAAGGGGCTGGAATAAACCGCGTCGAATACCCAAACATATTGCCCGAAAGGAACCCTGACCTGTGACCTAGTTGCATTGGAGCGTCCTGGGGTTCAACCTAGAGGGTGGGGCGTAAGTGTAAAACACAAGTCCTCATCAAGAATAGCCCACAAGCGCAAACCTGTTTTTGTAACTAGCCTCGTGTGAGGTTTACCCTGGAAGAAACCCCCAAACACAGAAGGAATTGAATAAAAACGAGATACATGACCATCCAAAAAAATCGCAGGATATCGCGGGTAATAGGGGTCTTTTGGCTATGGCAAACCTGAAATCAGGTTTCCCAACAAAAAGAGCCTGCATCATACTTGGTCGCAACCCCAAACCCCCGAGTGTGCTATATGTTAATGGGCTTTTGAGCACCAAGGATTTGTGTACAGCACTGTCGAGAGGTTTTTCTCAAGTTCATGGCCACAAGCCACGAATCAGCTCGAACTTGCTACCGAGCAAAAGGGCACCAAGCCTCAAAGAGTGAAGGAGCAACCACCTTTCACTTGGCTTATCGACCACCTGTTTCGGGTTGATGCCTTCTTTTTTCTTCCGTTGGAAAGCTACTCAACTCTGCCAGGGCTTACCCAAAGGGCGCGATGAATCTGCCCGGCCTCCCGCAGCCTGTACTTGTTAGGCACACATCTGGGATACACAGCAAGTACATGGTCACATTGTGTGTCCTATTGTGTCACCCCTTTCCTTTTAGGGAATAGGTGTGGAAACTGGAGTCTTGGGGGCTGAACGGACCACCTTGTAGTTGTAACCCAAGCGGCAGGGCACTTCCACTGGTGGCGTCCCTTGAAAGTGCTCCCACTGATTCTTGGGGGGCAGAATCAACAAGTCCCAGCCTATGTGGGTATCTTCCCTTGTTGGCTCTGGGTGGCCAACAGACCTCACTTAGGAATGTCCAAAAGGGGAATTCCCAAAGAGGTGGCTTTTCGTTTGGTTTCCCGTTGAAATATTCTGCAAAGGGTACCACCTCTAAAACCACACACACACACACATTCACACCCCCTTCGCTTGTTGACCACCAGTTGTACCCCAGAAACACCAACGAGATCCAACAAATAAGTAGGAAAAACCACGCCTGGCCTAACCCCCATCCTATTGAATCGCTCGGAATCCGAGCGTCATCTCCAGCAACGCCCTCGCCACGCCGCCGCCGATTTCCGCCGCCGCGCAGGTGGCGAGGCGCGCGAAGTGTTCAGCGCCGAGCTGAGCGCTGGCGGCCGCATCCATGGGCGCCAGCTGCGAGAGGTGGGGGTACAGCAGCTGAGAGCTGCGGAAGTCCTGAAACAAAGATTGGAAGCGGATGGAAGCGGACACGTAGGGCCGTAGGGGGGTGCTGCTTTGGTTTCCCTTGGAAACATGCCCCAAAGAGGTGTCCAAGAAAAAAGAAAAATGAAAACGCAAACAAGCGGGCAAACAAGCACGCGCACACACACACACACACACACAAACAAAGAAACAAACAGACACACACACACACAAAACACACACACACACACTTATAAAGCGAAGCGTACTCGCTGTCAAATCACACAAAACGTGAAAGCAGAACCGATGCCATCAAACGAGAAAACAACGCAACACCTTTCAACAAGGTCATTCGGAGAGAAAGGCTTGGCAGGTACGTCCAGCTGGCCAAGCCGGATATCCCACTTCACTGGTAGCTTCGTTGGACACAGTCCCAGTGAAGTGCTGTGACCCCCTGCAGTGAAAAATGAGCACGCGCGGTCCAGCACGGTGCGCACACACACACACACACTCACAAACAGACACGCGCCTGGGCACGCACACGCGCACGCATCTTGCAATGAACAAGTTCCTCTTGGTTTCCTCACCAACAACATTCATCAAAAATGCCCAACCCAACTACAGAAAACACAAAGAACTTGGATAGGTTCGTTTTGGGTCGGTTCCTTCTCTTTTTCCTACAAAAAGAGACGACACAAGCTTGACCTGGTGCCGAGTGGCAGCCCGCACATTCCACTCGGCCACAGGGGGGCCTGGGAGCGGTGGAATGGGGAGCCGGCTGTCAATGGAGCCGGCAAATGGAATGGAGACCTCCACGGCATCCGAAGGAGTTTCATCAAAGTGGGCCAACCATCCTTTGGCCATGGGTCACAACCTATGGCTCCATTTTGGGGCGGATGCATATTTTGATGTTCACCAGAATTACAGGGTTTTGACCCACAGCCATTTTTCCGGGGGGGGGGGGGGGGGTTGAAGCATGAGGTACCGTCACTCGCCAATCTCCCACAGCCGCCATC